AGACACATGAATGCCACTGCAGCCACTTTCTCCTCAGTGTTGTAGTTGAGATCCTTTAAGACCAGCACAAGACCAGTACAAGATCTCCAGTCATAATTCAAGTTGCCAAATATTCAAAACAAACTGCAACAATGGCATTCCTTCACCCACCGTTGTTTATCCTGTTACTTCTGAGTGGTCTTGTGGCTGGTCTTGTGATAGTCACATTGTGAAGAAGTCTGTGTGCATATTCCAGCGACAAATTGGTTATGCACACTTGGTGCAATTAAAGCAGCATGCACATATACAGCAGGCCTGCCCTTCTAGAGCTTTCAAAAATAGCCGCAAAGCATGACCTAGTACATGTAGTTGCTCCTGTGCAGAGCCCACAATCGTTAGATTTTTGTGGAGGCTAGGAAAGAGATTGATGGAATGTTAAACCAGTCTCCCCCAGAGTTTTGTCTTCTTGAGGATGTTTTTATGTCTAAACAACTAGGCTTTTGCTCAGTGATTTGAGAAATTGAAACAAATTCATGGAGGCTGCCCTCCAGTCTGTGACTAATACCATAACAGGGCACGTGCACACTGGACTCCAGCACTTCTGTGTTTCATTAAGGAAAATCCACCGAGCTCCATTTTTATTTCTCGGTCGGAGCAAAAAGTGGTCTCATTTGAATGGCATTTATTACACCCTAATACGTGTGCACAGTTGCGTCAGAGCCCATCACTCTTAATTTTGCACCCATGATCGGTACCCGTAATTAAACTGACAGCCATGTAGGGTGATTGATCACAGCCAAGAGGCCATTCAGGAAAACACAAATTGTTGTTAATGGACACCCAGCGTTTCAATATTCCACTCCTAATGAAATCCAAATAGTCTGCATGTGGACTTTGTCGCGTTACAAATAGAGATACACGCACACGTCTGAAATCGCTCTTTGCTGTGTATATTAGGATTGATAGAATATGCAGGACAGATCTTAGTTTTTGTAAGCATGGGTGTTTCCTGAAAGGTCCATTGGGGTTGGAGGGACTGGAGGCAGGATAAGAAGGATTGGACAGAAGGGACACGGCCTCTTTCCAGAGATTGCTACTCATACATCAACGGGGTGACATTCATAGTCCGGTGTACTCGTTGAACTCCCTCAAAGTATGGCCAACAGGCATCTGCACCATACTGCTCTGCCTCTCTGGTGTCTGCTTCCCTCGCTCATCCAAACGTTGCCAACAATAATGAACCCATTCAAAGCAAGCCTGGTTTGCCTGGCAAGCCTGAAATTTACTTACACGTTTGGGTGTGTTTTGAAAATGTCTGCTGAAGGTGCCATAGATTAATGTGAGGAGATGCCTTTGCTGCACCCAGTTGAGTAAAGAGTATTTTAGTGGGTGTGTATGATTTGCATATATAAGTGTGGAGCTGGTCTATATAGGTATTTTCACTGGCCCATGTGACTTGATAAACATCTGCCATTGTACACAAAGACTAGCACCTTGCACAGTATTATGAGCCCCGAGCTGGACCAGAAGAGGGCGCAATTTTCCTAGCCATTGAGGCTCCTTTGGTTAGGAACTACGCTTCACTGGTTTACTCACAATTATCAAATACATGCATCACGTTCGCATCGCTACCAACAAAATGAACACTCCTGACCAACATGGCTGTTTTCAAACAATAAGGGGGTGCTTCTGCTCTGGGCAGATAATCAAGCTTTCAAAGCTTTGATAAGTTGCAAAAAGTATAAAAAAAAGGTAGGGAAACATCGGGCCAGTACCCAGTGCAAGATCAAGATGATTACGACAATACATGGCATGAGTGATGACCATGCCGTTTGGTAAGGAATTTGCAGTTAATTACTCTGAAATTAAGCCTTACTGTCCAGTTTGCAATGGTGACATTCAGTTGCCAACCAGATACTTGCACTCTGCAGCTGTGGCCAATCTCGGGGAAGCCCTGTGGTCACATGGTGCTTTTGAAGTCTTATGATTGGACCCTCTAACACTGCAGTAATGGCTGCTAATTAGATATGAATGCTGTGTAAATATGCCTGGTATCGTGCTGTAACATGGTAAACACATTTTATACTAATACTAACCCGTTGCATCAAAAGGTGCTTTGTGTGTGTGGTCAATTTTCAACTGAGTTTAAGCTTGGGCGTCCACTGGACATTGTGCTGTAATTCAGTGGCTGAAACGTGCACCTGCATGTAACGGTGTAAATTTACGCAGTATTGATGTCAAGAGGCAAATTGCAAAATCCAGCTGCTTAAAAAAAGTGGAAGAGAAAGGAAAAAATTCTCTTGAAATACAAGAGATTGTCTGTAATCACATTTCAAAACAGGGTCTTTGCTGTAGAGTGATGGAGACGTCAGCCTTACAGTTCCTTCAATCTCTTGTATTTCTCCCAATTTTTCGGATAATTGCAGGGCTGAAATCCTCGACTCTGTAGGGGCTCTAAAACCAATTAAAACCGGCATGCTTTTTTGGGGGGGGAGGAAGGCGCCGGCTATCGCCTCCATTTCTTTCCGCCCCGTTGAGCAGAGAAGCCGGCTTATCCACCACCACCATCACCAGGACACCATCATCAATATTACACCTCACACCAATCGGCATTACTCATCGAGGGAGAGCTGGAAGCCGATGCCAGTGCAGCGTCATGCTAAATTGTTGTGTGGAGCCTGTGTTGCTGCAGCCTTGCATGACTGCACTTCATCTTGGAAGATGGGGAAAGAGAAAGAAACGATCGAGATGTTTTTTTCTTGCAACTTGTCAAGAATATAAGGATTTTAAGGTTTTTAGGATTTGGGGGGAGGGGGGTTCGGGGATGGTATTCAGAACATGACGAATTATTATAGATTTGTTGCCGGCTCATTTCTTGCAGTCGGCTCAGTGAGATCGAGTGAGTAACCATGCCTTATATGTGGTCAGAGTGAGAGGCAGTTTTCGTGTACCAATACATCTCTTGTTGGATTTGTAAAGTTGCACTTGAGGGAGAACTTTAGTCTTTGTAAATGTGTTCAGAACTTTGTCCCATGGCCCATTTCAAGGCCTCTTGTCTCTCAGAATGAATCAAAAGTTAAAGGGTCTTGTCTGCCCTCAGAGTATTTGAGCATGTGGAATATTATCTGAAGTCTTTCAGCTTAAGTCCGATGTAAACGGCACCTAACTGTTAAAGTCTTCTTGGGTATAAAACACTGCATTTTCTTTCTTGAGCATTGTAACTTTCTGTTTTTTTTCTTCATTCAGCAACTGGAAAGATGAAAAGTGCACTTGAGCATGTGTTCAACATTGCTCTGAATTTCTGTTGGCTTGATCTCCAGCAGAACCATTTTTTCATTAAAATCTACTCAAAAAATGGAGAGAACAAGGCTCCCTCCCTTGAACCTAATCTCTCAATCAACCTCCTTATTTTGACATCATCCTTCCCCCACCCCGTGGCAACCCACAGAAGTCCCTAAAAGGTCCAATTTTACTACAATCATCCCCCTCTTTGTCCTGAGGGTCCAAATATTAAAATGCACTTTCTGAAGTGACCGTTACAGAAAAAAAATTAAAGGAAAAAAATTAAATCACGGAGAATCCCTTCTTTAGATGAAGGGCAGCAGTGCTTGTTTTTAATTCAATAAGAAGTAACACAGGCTCACTCGGCCTGGTCACCTCGAGGGGAAATCGTAAAAGGGGCCGCATGAAAAGGGTTGGGGAGCTCATTTAAAACTCCCCTGCTTGAAAAATTGTACCAATTAGCCAATATGCTTTGAGTCATTGGAGCTGAAAATTAGAAGCAGTGACCATGAGAGCTGCTCTGTGTGAAGCAGTGTGCATCGATTTCTGATTATTTGTTTGAGATTATTTTAGTGGCTAATGTTGTCTTAAGTACCAGTCAGTCCGAATGAAGTAGTCAAAAATGCAGTTCTCGATTATTAAAAATTTGTATGCAGAGTAATGCACAGCGGGACCATACAAAGAGGGGGTATTTAAAAGGTGGGGCTAGCCAAAGTTGTCAATTGAGCCTCACATTCATCTGAAATCCATGTACAATTTTCCCTTTGAAACCAACAGCACTGAAACCGTTAAAATCTTTTGTTAGATTTGTAAAAATTTGATGGCTGTAGTACTGTGCAACCAGCCACTGTCACTTTTCACAGGGGTTGATGTCTTAAGTTTGTGCTAGTATAGTTTGCGTGATTTTGAATTATTAAGGCAGATTCCTGAGCAGAAATTCCTGAGGAGCCAGGGTGTTTATCACCAGTTGTGATGGTGGTTTGGCCAACAGCCCCATCTCACATGACATTCTGTCATCAGACATTTCTGTGAAAGTCATCTAATTTTGACAAACTCAGTGCTATTGCATCGGCAGTGAAGCCCAGAGAAGTTAATTAAAACATTGGTCTTAAGGGAATAATGAGGTTTGTTTCAATTTTTATTTACCATGCCATAAGCTCTTTAAGGATGTGGCCTGACACCCAGGGCTTAAGTCCCGTCTGGTTGCTAAGCCCCCATGAAAGACACCTCCTCCAACATCCCCGTCCAACTCTAGGCATTCTCAACCCCGTCTGTCCTCCGTCTCCAACTTGACACACATGTAGGACAGCAGTGTCTTGCAATCAATCTGTCACCACCAGAACCCCCCTCCCAAACACCCTCAGCCCTCCACCAACCCCTTGTAGTTCCCATGGGAACGGATTTCCGTGACGCTGCCTCATTAGGTCCGTCAGTTCACAGCTCTCTGCCTCCTCTCTTCCCGCTGGTCTCGCTGAATCCCATTAAGTATGCAAATGAGTTGCTCAACCCCATTGGTACATTACCATTCCTAGTGTTATCATGTATGAATAATTAGCTTAACGCTGGGGGCCACTGTACCACATACATAACAGCATTGACCTGAGATGGGATTTTTTTCATGAACTGTATGATTTCAGTTCGTGTATAAATATAGCCAATGATGTCAGGTGTACCTGTGTGGTTTTGTACTGCTCTTGTAGGCATCAGCTCTCATTCACACACGCACGTATCCTGTCATTGCACTGGGCACTCATCAACAGACGCACATGTCTGTGCACGCTGGGTGCTGGATGCTTCTATTTTGGTTCAGGTCTCTGTCACAGAACATGTTTCCCTGATGCGTGCCTTGCTCACATGTGCATCTGCTGACCACCCTGTGGTAGCCTCTCAAGCAGAGTAGGGTTGTTAATCTCTTTGGAAAATTGGATGCAGTTTGTGATTTTTACCTTGTCAGAACCTGGAGACGGTGATTTCTTGTAACACCTGCAAATCTTGTGTGGATGGATAGCGTGGCATCACCTGCCTACCTGGCATCACACAGTAGCAGATAATGAATAGATTAGTGATGACACAAGGAGAGATGACAGCAGGAAATCTTATTTGACCGGCATTTTGGAGTTTGTCCAGTCGCAAGTTTGAGTGCCTGAATTGGTTGGATGGAAACGAGGATGTACTGTCAGAGGAGATTGCTGGAAGAAGACACGGTTGTCTCCATCAGAAAAGTGTCAGATCATCATTGGGTTTACACTCTTTTTGGTTTGTCGTAAAATGTGAAATTTGAGAGACTGCCTTTGACAGCAAGCACTAATGATGCAACTCAAAACATGGACTCACTCATCAATGTCACAGATTGCTGAAATCTGTACAGTTTCACGCTGGACTCACAGGAAATCAAAGATGGAGCTTTGACCCCTGGCTGATGTGATTCTATAGGAATATTGACACATTTTGTTGGAAGGAAGGTTTTTATCTTGACGTTTTGTTTGTATTTAAGAACAGGAATATACTGAAATAAGAAAGTCAAGATGTCGGTCATGTTGTGGAAGTGGGATAAGAACAACCAGAAGATTAAAAAGGTAGGTTGGACAATTGTTTTTTTCATCTACTTTTAACCCATTCTTGGGGTTTGAGAAGTTTCTTCCGAGCGTTTCTAAAACCGGTGCATTACAAGTTAAGCATATACCGGTGTAGGGTGTGTGATATGTTTGAATTCATATTGATAATTTCTTCAACACTCCCTCTGGACCCTCCTCTCTGAACCTTACTTGCACAAATGCGTAGTCACATATACTATATTTCATAACCTCCCTGCCATAGGGAAGCAGGCACAGTGCGTACACATGGTGGTTTGGCTGCACATCAGAAAGCTTACACGCATCCAGTTCTCATTTGAATGTGCACAAAACTCTGGTGTCTTCCTTGTGGTGGCAGTGTGCACGATGGCAGTGGGATACTGAAGTGTCTGTCATGTCTCTGTCTTCATCAACTTTGCTTGCACACTGAAAGGGTGTTTACGTAAGCACCAATCTTTCTTTACTCCCTCTGTTTGCCGGTGTCAACGGCATTCTCCAGAACAGTACTGGTACATTCAAGATGCATAATCTCCAAGGGAAACGCAGAAGAATGTGCCGCGGGTGAACCAAACTGCAAAGTTTGATTGAGCAGCCCGCACAACATTGTGACCCTGGCACATGATGCCAGCACTTCAGATCCAGTTATGGGGTCTGACCGCAACCTCCTTGAACTACCTCGTGAGGTCATTGCAAAAGCAGCTCCTGTTGTGGCCATCACTCTTATTGTTCATCAAGCATTTGTTGTTTGTTGCTCAAACATGCTGTGCTGGAAATTTTCTCCCCTCATTATGCTTTTTTGTGTCTTTAACCAGGTGTTTCAGTGCATTTATATATATTATCTACAGAGTACGTGAATATTTCATTAAGATGTTTTTATGCTGGAAAAAAAAAACTGAGGTGAAACGACAAAAAAACCCAGTCTTTTTGGGCTTAAGCTGGGGGAATAGCAGTGTGTAGAGGCGAACACATTTTACTCTCCAGTCCAGCAGCACTGTAGGACCTACTAGGGTGAACTACACGTATGAATGAAATGGTTTACATTTAAGTATATTCTTAAATGTAAACACAGAGAAATATATCTGTAAAATAGGCCTACCGTAGATTACATTTGAAATGACAAAATTGCAAAAGGTGTACGACATTTTTATTCGCACATGCAATTTTGTCATCAAATTTCGGTACTGGGTAGTGTTTTGAACAGCAAGGACAGCACACTGAGACCAGTCAATATTTGCATTCATTATGCTCAGAGATAAAAAAACCACCAGCTCCAGCAGCATGGACATCTATTGACGACCCTTCACAATGCATCGTGCTGGACACTGCTGTGTTATCCGAGTTATGACACAGCTGCATATGCTCAGATCTGTGCATAAAATCCCCATGCTGTGTGACAAGATATGGATTTTCCAGGGTTTTGTAGTTTGATAATTTAGCACTTCAGCTTAATTTGATCCAGTTCCTTTAAAAAGAGGACACATTGCATGCATTTGAAAATTTGGACAAGTATATTCAGCAATGATTATTATAAAGGAATACTTACAAGGAGAAGGTTCAACTTGAGTGAACAAAAAAAATTGGCATGATGGGGATTTGAACCCAGGACAGTAAGTCTCATCTTGCCTCATCTTCCCAATTCTGTTTGTTTTATACCCTTTAACAAAACCTCTTGGAGTTAACATTCAGTTGGATTTCAACAGCATTCACTCCTCAGACGCGTGAGTCATTGTGGTTTGTTTACGGCAGCCTGCTCAGAAAAGGCCTGCATTTTTGCATCAGTGCATCGTGAGATGCATTGGAAAATTGTATCATTGTTAGGACTCTGAATTACCAAGCATGATATCGTGAATGGCAGCTGACCAAAAGGAAGTACTTGGAAAGATTGCATTTTAAAGTTGATGCGATTGTTTTAATGGTACATGTAAATGTGTAGAGCATGAAGATCCTGTCTATTCTCAATTTGCATTCAAGTAACCACAAAAGGGACAAAATCTAATCTCCAAATTCTTGAAAATTCACTGGAGGTTTGGAAAATTGTACAAGAGTAAGGAAGGAAGATCCCAGCCCAAACCCCTTGAATGTTTTAGTAAAATGCATCGTTCAAGTAAAGAGAATGTGCTGTTAGTTTCCACTTGTTTTTCCAGCCTTTCCTACAAAATTGTTGAGCCTCATTCTGGCCAATTCGTATTTGGAATTTTTGCTCTGTCCCTCAATTGAAGGTTGGGGAAGAAACCTTCCCATCAACCTGATCCAGAATTTTGAATGGAAACTAAGGGCAACTCGAATCCACAAGTGTAGGCAAGTGTTCCTTGCAGAATGTCAACGTCACCATAATCTAGCTGTGCAGATTGCCTAGGGCAGTAGACACAGACAATACGGCCATTTAGGGAAGGTGTACATTGTATGCCTACATACCGTAGTCATTGTCGTGCAACTAGACAAGACACTAAATGAATTTGCCTGTTGCAGTTTTTAGCTGAAAATTTGTGACGTTTGTTGGTAACTGAAGGCACATGCTTCGTAGAGGAATTATGAACCAAAGAGAAATGATTGATTCTTTAGATGTGGGAGACATATGGTTTTAGCTTGCCGCAGTAATGTAAAGTTTAGGTTTCATATGCTTCCACTTACACTTCAATTTTCTAAGAAATGCTGGCATGTGTACAGATCTTGGTATGTTGTACAGACCACAAAGAATCCCACAGATCCCGAAGCATCTTCCTAAAAATGGAAATCTGGAACCAAGTTTTCTAATGCTGTGGTCTTGAGAGATAACTCAGAGGGGTGGTTTTGGCTCAGAGCCTATCTTGTCCACATCTCCCTTAGTTTCTGTTCCAGTGCATACTGAGGGACTAGCGGACAAAGGAACGACTCCTCTTTTAGGCCTGTAAAATGTAGCTGCTGGGTGATAGGTAGAGGGGACAGTGACACAAACTTCCGGGAAAGCAAGGACCTAGGGCCAAGTTACCCTGTATCAGTTAAAAGTAAAAAAAAAAAGTAAAATTCGGTTGACATGGTGTAGTGTTTGCATTGCTTTGCCACAAGTTATTCATTGTCATAAAAGTAAGCCATTGACATTGAACACCGTAGGCCTATAACCTACTTGTATTTTAATACGTGTGATTCACAATAGCGCACTACCAACAGTTTGCAACACGTTGGCCAATCATAAGGTGCGACATTTTTCGACCCATTCCAAACAGGCATTGGGTCAACAAATTTTGCGCATTGTGATTGGCCAATGCGTTGCAAACTCTAGGTGGTGCACTTTTGTGAAACGGCCGTATTGCTTGAAATAAACAAGCTTTGGGGATACTAATTATTTATTACATGAGGTTTTAAAAATCAGTAGACTGTTCAGGTGCTTTTCAATGATTCCTGGAGAGCATTTTAAATTCAATTTTATATTTTTCCCTGAAAAAAATTATAGCTAGGGAATCCATGCTTTACGTGTGCCTGGGCATAATCCTTCTGTCTTCATTGAGACAAAGAGACCAAAACGTGGCACGGCTGATCCCAATGCCAGTTGAACAAAATCAATAGTACAGATCTGATTTGGTGCATACATACGGAACACAAGTCCTCCAACATAATGTGCCACGTAAGTAATCAAGTCACATCTCATAAACTGTAGCAGGTACACGGGGTGGGTACTTGCACCCAGGGTTCTATAGTTCTGGGGGAGGGGGTCTCTGGGGTACTTTTTGGACTTTGGATTCCCAAATCCACTGTGTAAATGCTTGAAAAGTATACTTTTTTAAATTAAAGAAAACTGGGACACCCTATTTTTCAATGTGGGTTGAAACCTGCTCACGCACAGACATGTTGACAAGATCATGTTGGTACGACCTTTCGTTGAAAGGAAGAAATCGTTTTTTTTCCTTTACCGGTGATAGTCTGGTATTATCTGTCCTCTCCTCCATAAATGCCCAAACGGACTCTGAGGGCAACATGCGTATGACAGTTGTATATAAATGAGGCTATTTGGGAGGCCAAGTGTCCCAAGTCTGAGTGCAGTGAGTATATTGGTGGAGTTGGGGGGGGGATGGTTTAATTTATCATTCTTTCCCGTAGCTCTCGGCATTTCTTCAATGAGATTTGCATTCCTACTCTTTAATAAATACATTGGTATTCTGTGATGTTTATGCAGTTGGTACATTGTACTTGTATATGATCCATGAAACACGAATTGAACTCAAAATTGATGGCATGCTGTGTGTGGCACGCTCCTACTCAATATTTTGAAGACTCTACTTTTGTGGCTGGCAGTACTATATTTATTCATTTGTTCCTGGTTCAGAAATCAGACATTTATTGATCTGGATGAACAGATTCAGCCCAGCCCTGCCAGATTCATAAAAACTTCACGTGGAAGTTGGGCGAGATTTTTGCAGGACTGACGAAGGTAGAGCTTGGTCAGTGTCTCTGTGTGTGGCTCTTGACATCGCTTGAAAGCTCAGAAAATACCGGTATTCCCTTTGGTTCCTGCTTAGTGTTGTGTTTTTTTTAAGGATTAAGGAAAGAGGAAGGAGGGAAGCATGCTAGCAAGGATATCCAGGGAGGCAAGATTGATAAGTTATGAGGAAAGATCATAAAGCATACCTCAAGTTTGATTTTTTAATACTGGGTACAAGATATTAAACAATGATCTTCTCTGGTTATCTGTGCAGTACCTGCATTCTGGAATTTATCAAGGTAGGAATTCAATATTACATCTATGAAGCAGTTGGAACCCGTAAACTGGCGGACTGTGGAGGTGTAACCGAAATACACCAGCCCACGCTGACATTCCGATGCGATCCTTGGTATATACACATTTGCGTGAAATTGCCTGGAGTTTATTTGGATGGACGGGTTGCAGTGTTTATTTGTGATGGGGATAACTCAGTTGCGGGCCTGAGTCGTATTTATCCAACGCAAGCGTCCTCCAAACCCAGTGTCGCCCCCATCATGCTCCGGAATTGGCTTTGGATTTTTCACATCTTGCCAAAATTAAATTCCAG